AATGATAATGATCGATAGTATAGTAGCCTAGATAATGTACTGACGCTAACAATTTGTGCTGTAGGCTCGCGCAGCCTCTCGATTAAACAAATAGGCCTAACTGCAGCTCACACAAACAAACTCAGTTAGCAGCACACTGCGGTTAAATTTTTTTAAATGTGCAAGTTAGTTTTTATAACGTTATTTATAACATGAAGCAACACCACGACCAAGTGCTGAATATCATCACGAATGAAAATGTAACACTGATTTCGACAGTTCAATAAGTAATTCATATTAGCCTAAGTCACTTACATTTTAGATGCAATATTGACTTTTTGTTCTATTTTAGCAGTGAAAATAATTCCAATCCAAACAAAGATCCCAGCAGAAACAGAACGCATCTCAGTCAACCGTGTTTTCATTACTAAATGATTCAGTATTTTAAAGGAATCGGTTGAGTCAAAGATTCAATGACCCATTCATGAACGACTACTTTTTTCTCAAGGGGGTAATCCATCGACCGGAAGTTGAAGCCGGCCGGGTGTCGTCATGTTGTAGCAGAACTTCACTTGCGTTAGCATTTCCATTGACTCCCATTCATTTTGCCGTCACTTTGACAGCGAATAACTTTACATCTGAGGCATTTAAAGACTCCATTTGTCCATTATTTATTTCTAAAGAAACACGACAATGTATAAAGGGCTCCATTACCTTCTATGTTACATTATGGCCCCGTAGAAACAGATTTAGTAAAAATAGGCTAACGATTGCGTCATAACCACTCGACTCTCTGTCACGCTGTACAGAAATGACCGTACAGACAGGAGGAGAAGCTCGCAGGCGATCGGGGGGACGTCCCGTCAAGGGAGAAGCCCATAGATAATGAGTCCATAAAAGCAACGGATTACTTATTCCTGCTCACTCACGCCAAAGAACGCTTTGCTCAAGTTCCCCGTCTCTGCAAGATTAACGTTGGCAATTTTCACGCACAGCTACTAGAAGAGTAACGTCTGTCAGACAGGTTGCTCACGTCATCAAGCTTAGTTTGAGTCGGGTTGAGTCTGCGCGTCAGGAACGGAAGTGCTCAAAAATAGCTAAAAATGGGCTTCAACTGTCTCAACTGAGTTCCAATATGAATCAGCTGTTTGAACAAATCGTTTGAACAAATGACTCAATGACTCGCTTAATAACACCGCTTATCACTTACCGCCATCTACTGGCGGTTTAGTTTCATGTTTAAAAGTGTCATTCTTTTCAACTTTTCTTATTTGTATATTTAAAAAAAAGATTTAAAACAATCTCATAACATTATTTAATGTATATTATTTAGTGTAAATGATTTAATTTGATTGGTAACAGTCCTGTAGTGTCTTATTCTAATTTAATTTATTGATCTAATAAAGAATTTAAAATGAAAGAGGAATCATTAAGATATATAATCATATATTTAATAAAATTAGGGGAAATGTCCTTTATAAAAGTAAAAATATCACAAATATGCAGATTTAAATATGTCAAAGCTGATTGAACTCTGATGTGAATAGGCCTACTGATTTATAATAAATTATATTCAACACAATTGTCACAATGTCAAGCCCTGACACGTTTTATTTATTTATGAATTCATTGTTCATTAGTCAATTATCTTTTATCTTTCTATTCTATTCTATTCTATTCTATTCTAACATTTAGATTTGATGGCCGAGTGCGGGCGCGGGCGGTTGCCTGAGAATCAAACGATTCGTGGGACACCCTATCTAAATAAATCCTATCTAATTGCATTTCTAAAACGCAATGGCCAATCAGATGCGTTTCAGATAAAATCCACTCACCGCTCAAAACTTTGGAGTTTTTGTTCAGTGATGAATTCTGCATGCTGGCAAATCCTTTGATTATACCAAACAAAGTGTTGACATTATGAAAGATTCATTGTGCAGTCAGCTTCATTGATAATAAAAGAGCTTTGTGAGATCGCGATGATCGAGATGTGGGACTTGACGTAGAGTTGATGAAGGGAGACAGGCTCGTCCAGGGCAGGCACTAGTGACTCACAGGGCGGGCCAGGCCCCCCAATGCCCCCCCATGGCGCCGGGTCTGTGTTCATGGCTAGCCTAAATAGTTCCATTCAGACTTCAATATTAAAGGTGCTCTATGTAACTTTTAGCGGCCTCTGGTGATGTTTCAGATTGCAACCAAATTTTACAAGAGCGCTCGTGCTCGAACTCATAGACAATACCGTCTATTACGCAAATATCTCGGCGAATACTAGACGGATTCGGCGAGCACCGAGCTCGTTGGGACCATCTAGTCGAGCTGAAAAGAACCATATAAGTTCCATAGTTTTTGGTGGTGTTTTCGCGGAGATATTAGCAGAAAACCATCGGGCGCGCTGCAAAATTGCGGACGCCGGTGACGTCACGATCTCAGAAGAGAATCGCTCGTATCTCTGGAACGCAAAGACCCAGAGAGCTCAAATTCGGGGGAGGAGGTCCCAGGGGAACCCTTGCCCGAACGCTAGAGTGGCGGGCCTCGGGGACGCCCCCTACCGGATCGCCGTTCGCTGGGACCCCCGATTTCGAACGGCTATAACTCGGGGAGCCGGGCGAGTTGGACCTCGGGGGTGGGCTCGTTCGAAAGGCCCCGTCCCGCACTACGAACGATTAGAGTCTTGGGAACATTGATCAAAGAATGACTGAGATATAAGCCGAAAAAGGTGCGCCTTTAACCGGACGTAACTCCCTGACCGTCTACAATAGACTGTATATAAGGAGAGAGGCTCGGGAGCGCGCATGCACGTCACATCCGGTGGATTTCGCGGTAAATCCGACCCGGAGACTTCACATAGAAATAGGAATACTGGCCTTCAGAGGTAATAGCAAAACTCGACAAGTGGATCATTTTAATGTGTGATTACAACCCCTTCACACACAGGCAATAAAAAAAGGATTAATTTTAGTAGAAAAGTTACATAGAGCACTTTTAAGTCTTTTACTGTTATATGTCAACAAGATTCAACACGACATGTTTACCTGCTATACCCAATGTTTAGATTTGTTGTGGTGTTTATGCAAATTAGCACATACGTAATTATATTATGCCCCGTTTGTCCATGTTAACAAACAATTTCCAAAAACTTGTAATACATTTTTTGTTTCTCTTGATGTAAGTAATCAACTCAGTGATTTTCATGGTGATATTTAAAGGTTAAAATTTTGACCCTATTCACGTGAGAAAGAGAATGAATAGGCGAATGAATAGACTATATTTGGGTCTTTTTCTAAACTTTCCCCTAATGGGATTCTTCGGCGCTTTTTTTTCCTGCAGGACATATTGAGGATACAAAATCAGTTGAGTTTGCTTCTGTTGCAATTTGTTCAACCTTTTATCATAAAATGACTGGACTAGAATAAATTGAACAAAGCATGTATAGATAGCTCTTCTAGATATTACTGTACACTCAAAGCATCAGGGGTCTCTCTTCTCAACCTCCACATCATATTTATCTGTAACTGAAGTGCATATTCAACAGTGACCTGAGAGTCTGGACATAAACATCATCATCATCATCATCATCAAATCAATATTTGTCTTTATCCTTTATCCAACACCGACATGAGCTTTTTGTTTCTTTTTCTTCCTCTGGTTTGCTCACTGGAGGAATAAAGGATTAAAGAATTATGGAATAACTTTCTAGTGACTCCCTGATGAACATACTATCTCTAATCTTATCCAACAAAATTAGTACTTTAATATCGCAGTAATGATTAATCAGTAATGACTGATACTATCTGTTGCATTTACAAAAATATACTTATACAATAATACTATTAGCAGTCTCTATACAACTGTCCTTTCTATCACATTCTCTTTCTTTTTCTCAAATTTTCTTGCTCTGTTTCTCATCCCGGCCCAAAAAAGCTTGTTTCTGCCATGGAATAAAAAAAACACAAAAGGCAATTGTGACATTTTATCTCACAATTCAGACTTTTTTTTCATAAATGTGAGATGTAAACTTGCAACTGTGAGAAATAAAGTCAGAATTGTGAGATATAAACAATTCTCAAAACCCAGAACAAAACCTATGGCGTTTCTTTAGTCTCAAATCTTGCCCACATAAAAATCAGGTGTGTGCACATGATACAGGCACGCAACTTTAATGGCTTTATCAGATTATTCCAGAGATTATGCCCATTTCAGTATGTTTGGGATTTTAACACACCTTTGAAAATTACAGATGCTTTAACGGGAGCAAAACCACGAGCATGGATGTTGCATATGGGCTAATCCTGTCATGTTTCTCTATAACAGTTTTCCAAACTAGTTTCTGCCACATTTGAAGTATCATCATAAAATGTATCTAAATTTAAATTGAAAAAGGTTGTGGAAGAAGAAAGGAAGGACGTTATTCTGATTTAAGATTATTAAAACAATAATGATGTTCATGGATCATATAAACACTGCAATATTCCATAAAAATAGGATTTTTTACATTTTGATTTCATGGTGACTTTAACTCTTCTCCAGAGGGCGCAGTGAAGCAGAATCCTCCATTGAGCTGCATTCAAATGTCTAATTTCTGCAAGTACAAACATTTGTAGACTAAAACATAAAATAGTACTTTTAAATCTAGCAATTTAAAGGTGTTTCACCTGATATTCAAATGGGAACCCGCGTCGCAAAGCTCTAGGTCTAGGACATAAAAATAACTGTATATGTTACTGGTCCTTTAAGACCAGCGCGGAGAAAAGGAGCAAGAACCACGTGACAACCCAGTACAGCCTGGATCAATTATTTGAAGTCGCGGACAATTTTTAAAAGACAACAAAATTGAACATTAACATCGAAGCATTTAAAATTCGAGAATAATGTAGATTCGTAGTATATCTGGACAATTTTAGACCACCGTGGATCCACTAAGCCCCGCCCATTCTCTGCTACCGTGATTTCTATGGATTCTATCTGCATGTGCATATAACACTGATCTGGCAAAAAATATATATAAATATTCGTTATCGTTAGTTATTCCTTTCGTCGGTTTCTTTCCGTTATGAGATCGTGGCTCGCCGCAGCGCAATCGTCGGGACTGTATCGGTGACCATTAAACATTCAGGGCCATATTTGGTTAATGATGTCTTTCAGGCGGACTGTGTTCTGCTTGTTGTGTTTGTTGATGCTCGTGCACGGCAGCAGGAGGAGGCACGCGCGCTGTCCCGCATCATGTACATGTAGTAAAGATAACGCCTTATGTGCCAATACTGGATCAATACCGAGGAGCTTCCCGCCAGATGTCATCTCACTGTAAGCAATCACAACAGTAATAACAATGTGTCAATATTAGTATTATTATGTCGCTACCTGTGATCAGAAATTGATGGGGGTTTTTTTCCAGATCGTTCGTCAAGTCCGGATTTAATGAAATCCCTAAAGAGAGTTTCATTCACACACCAGCCCTCCATCTGCTGTAAGACTTCAACATCACTTCATCACACACACACACACACACACAGAGAGAGAGAGAGAGAGAGAGAGAGAGAGAGAGAGAGAGAGAGAGAGAGAGAGAGAGAGAGAGAGAGAGAGAGAGAGAGAGAGAGCGAGAGCATGTTTTTCATGTGTTCTGTCTGATCAGTGCAGTTTGTTTGTATAATGCTTTATAATAGTGTTCATAATACTTTATGACAAGGGTTTTAAACTGGGAAATAGGTGAAGTCTAAAGAGAATCAGTGTAAAAAAGTGTAAAAATAAATAAAATAATACAAATGAGATTAAACTAAATAAATAAATTGAATAAAATAAATAAAACATTGACTAAAATAAATACGCTGATTTTAAGAAAAAATAAATAACTAAAACATCTAAATAAATAATACATCTATATCTACTTTACAGCACAGTAGAAAAAAAATTAAAAGAGTTTTTTTTTTATATAGCTACACTATAATATACATTTTCAAAGTATAAATTTGTATAAATACTTTGTAACCTTAAAGGTGAGGTATGTTAGATTTGTAATGTTAAAATCGAGCGGCAACCTTCCAGTCTCTCCTGAAGCCAACAAGTGACTTAAACTGCAATTCATCGACTGGCCACTAGAGTCAGGCTCCAAAAGAGAGTAAATCCCATAAACCTCCATGTTAAAATGCCCAACTTTACAGCAGAAAAAAAACAGGTTTACAGCCTGGTGTAAAATTTGGTATTGGTTTATATAGTTAATTTTGCCCTTCATGACGACTGTGAGGGGGGTGCATTTTTTTTTATTACTCATCCGTTGAAATTACATTAAGGCGTGGCCACTTGAGTGACAGGTGGATTGCCACTGCTGTCACTACTAGCCGCTTGTCTGCTGTTAGCGTCACGTCACCTCACCTAATTCCAGCCGCTGAACTTGGCATCTCTGCCGTGGTTGTGGTTTTTTCGGGATTATTTCATTAATACACACATTATACTTTCGCCCACGCCTTTGGATTTCGTCGTTGTCAAGTATCCAGAGAATAACCAGCACTGTTTTTCAGTGGTTTTCCTCCATGAACATGCACTTTGACAATTGCATTGCTTTTTGGAGTTTAGATTTAAAAACATCTATAGATATAGAGGCTGAACTTGTTCTGCTGTACCCTTGCTCTCACGGAACAGATAAGAATATGCATATTTAAATTTTCATTGTTAAATAAAAAAGAACCGTCAGATGAAATCCTGCAGGTGTCAGTGCTTTCTCCGTCCATGCAATAAATGCACATCCTTGAATGAGCGCTGATTTGTAGCGTGTTTACTTGAACTTCTGAGGTAATATCTATGGTTTGACCCATTTGAGAGGTGGCCAAAATCAGAATTTAAAATGGACTGAATAAAGCTCTCTACAAACTTGAAGTGCGATGCCTCGCTGACTGACATGCAAATGAATCACTGTCATACACACACGCTCAGAGCAATATCACTGCATAATACATTTTGTAATTTCGTGATTGCGTCTGAAGCACTTGTGTCAACTCGTCCAATGGCGAGAGTGAGCGTCACGGGCGGTGACGTCACGACCAGAAGAGGATAAAAGCACATCCAGTCTGACCGGCTTTAGCTTCTATTTAGCCGAAGCAAGTCAATCACAGGAATGCAGGGAGTATGGCAAAGTGACGCAGCGTCTCGTTCCCTTCTCAGGGAACTAGGGTTACAGTCGTAACCTGAGATATTCCCTTTCGAGGGAACCCACGCTGTGTCGATGACGCTTTGTGAATGAGAATGGCCGAACGTACACCTTTCAGCTTGTGACGCATTAGTATTATAAGAATTTTACAGATTCTTTTGTTAAACACCCAATCAAATTATATATTTAAATGCCCTGCTAGAACATTATGGGTCGTAAAACCTCCCTCCAAAGGGAAAAGTTCTTATTGGCTCCACACCTCTAGAGGGTGTGACATCTTCACGCTTTAAAAATCACTGATCATAAGATCACGCCTCTTAGTCTCTTAGTCCTTCCTGAGAAGTCCTGATGTGAAGACGTTCCTGAATTAGAAGTCTCCCAAGGACCCCCAAGCTTGTGCCAGGCTGCAGCCTTGTCTTTCCATTCATCAAAGATCCTCCGACTCCCACTGGTTCTCTCTCATCAAGACCACATCAGCAAAGATCAACTGGAGCCTCAACAAATTGCATCAGGACAGTTTAATTCAAATGGGCGAGACATGCAAGAATCAAACTTAGTCTCATTATTTGATACATTAAGTATCCTTACCACTTTCTAAGAAGGGCGTGTTAGAACTAAACTGATGGTTTGCTCAAGGCTGTTGATCTGCTGAATTTTAAACAATGCTATAACTTCTTGTTTTCCTGTATTCCGCTTCAGCTCACTTTCCCTTGGTAAACTGTATGCATGTATGTATGTGTATGTTAGAGTAGTTTAAGTGTTTAGTCTAGTTAATAAAGTCTTGTTCATGTCACACGTAAAGTTGTCCGTGTCTCAAGCTCATATACTGGAGTCGCTAATCATATCGATTTTGACTACTTGCTCTTAGTAGTACTGTAAAGTAAGAAAGACATTTCCCATGCCCCGGAAATGTAAATTTCTTAGAATTAATGCACAATTAACACTGAGTGTTCACGGGACAAACAGGTTAATTGATTGTAATATTAATTCACAACATAAGTTAATTCTATTAACTGATCCAAATATTCATAATCAATTATAACAAGTTATTATTGATTATTAATATTTCTTTAGAGCTAATTTGCTACAGCATTCATCATTTAATTCCTCAAAATTAAATGCAGCCCACATATTTAAATCCTCAAAATTAAACATAGTAAAAGATCAAAAAGACAAGTCAACATAGTATGGATGAAAGGCTGAAGTATATTAAAATAGTTTAAACATAAAATAAAAGAATCATAAATTCATAGCTGGCAATACACTATGTATCTCTTTAATCTATGCATTGCCTCACATCGGGAAATTTTATGAATGAACACAACACGCTGTATTTATTTTTATACAGAGCTACATAACTTTCTTTGAACATGCTCTTCATAGATGAGGGTGGTGGGATTTTACTCCCCCGCATCAATGCTCAGCACCTCTACCTCCTCAGAGATAGATTGCTGAAACACCAGGCTCTCTACCCGGGTGGAAGAAGCCACGGCGCGGGCTTCTGATCCCAGAGAGAGAGCGCTGGATCCCCCGGGTGAAGGCAGAGACCCCTCCGCGAGATCCATTTGAGAACCCCACAATACCAGCTTCCGTGCTGCCTCGGCAACAACGGGGCCGGTACTGCGAGGAACGCGTGCCTGAACTCGACTGACAGGCGAGAACAGAGCTAGTAAAGCGAATGTAACTCGCAATGTTCATAGTCAGCGCCCTCAAGCTATACACGATACACGATCTAAAGTTTTGTTTGTTCGCCATAATATCTATGCTTGTGACTGATATAGTGACAGACAACAATAAATAGGACAGACAGTATGAACCCAGAGCGCTTGCTGAGGCACAGAAGCTAAAGCCGGTCAGACCGGATGTGCTTTTATCCTCTCCTGGTCGTGACGTCACCGCCCGTGACTCTCACTCTCGCCATTGGACTTGTTGACACAAGTGCTTCAGACGCAATCACACAGGGGCGTTCCCAAAGCGGCATTGACCCAGCACAAGTTCCCTCGAAAGGGAAGATGAACTTTAACTTTTGGCTTTACATCAAGCAGTCACTTTAGCGCGAGGCCCTGTGCTGCGACGAGACTGCTAGTAGCATATAGCATTAGCCCCTTAGCCTGAGCTAACTCGATCATGTCGAGCTAGGCGGGCGTATTTTCAGCAACCAGGCACCTCAGCTCCACCCATGTCCCACCTCTTTGCCCATATTCTGTTATCCGGGAGTGATGCGCTGTGACGCGCTGCCAAAATTGCAACGGCTGGCTCTCTTCAGGGATACTACGTCCATATATTTTTACAGTCTATAGTTAAAATACATTGAAATATTTTCATTGTTCACTGACTACTATTAGTCTCGCCCAAAAGTGTAAATGTTGAGCCTCCCGCATTGAGAGCAGTTCGCTCCGATCTGTCAATCTCTCTGCAGCTCAACCTAAAGTGAGAGTTTGGGAGTGGCTTGTAGCAGATGGAGAGTTTCGGGAGTGGCTACTGTAGCAGGTTAAGAGTTTAGGGTGTGGCTACTGTAGCAGGTGGAGAGTTTTGGGAGTGGCTACTGTAGCAGGCGGGGAGTTTGGGGAGTGGCTACTGTAGCAGGTGGAGAGTTTGGAGAGTGGCTAATGTTGCAGGTGGAGAGTTTGGAGAGTGGCTAATGTAGCAGATGGAGAGTTTGGAGAGTGGCTAATGTTGCAGATGGAGAGTTTGGAGAGTAGCCAATGTAGCAGATGGAGAGTTTCGGGAGTGGCTACTGTAGCAGGTGGGGAGTTTTGGGAGTGGCTACTGTAGCAGGCGGGGAGTTTGGGGAGTGGCTACTGTAGCAGGCGGGGAGTTTGGGGAGTGGCTACTGTAGCAGGTGGAGAGTTTGGAGAGTGGCTAATGTTGCAGGTGGAGAGTTTGGAGAGTGGCTAATGTAGCAGATGGAGAGTTTGGAGAGTGGCTAATGTTGCAGATGGAGAGTTTGGAGAGTGGCTAATGTAGCAGATGGAGAGTTTGGGGAGTGGCTACTGTAGCAGGTGGGGAGTTTTGGGAGTGGCTACTGTAGCAGGTGGGGAGTTTGGGGAGTGGCTACTGTAGCCGGCGGGGAGTTTGGGGAGTGTCTACTGTAGCAGGAGGAGAGTTTGGGGAGTGCTTACTGTAGCAGATGGAGAGTTTGGGGAGTGCCTAGTGTAGCAGCCAGAGAGTTTGGGGAGTACCTACTGTAGCAGGCGGAGAGTTTGGGGAGTGGCTACTATAGCAGGGCTTAGAGTTTGGGGAGTGGCTACTGTAGCAGGCGGAGTGTTTGGGGAGTACCTACTGTAACAGGTGGGGAGTTTGGGGAGTGGCTACTATAGCAGGGCTCAGAGTTTGGGGAGTGGCTACTGTAGCAGGCGGAGAGTTTGGGGAGTGCCTAGTGTAGCAGGCGGAGAGTTTGGGGAGGACCTACTGTAGTAGGGCTTAAAGTTTGGGGAGTGCCTAGTGTAGCAGGCGGAGAGTTTGGGGAGGACCTACTGTAGTAGGGCTTAAAGTTTGGGGAGTTCCTAGTGTAGCAGGCGGAGAGTTTGGGGAGTACCTACTGTAGCAGGGCTTAGAGTTTGGGGATTGGCTACTATAGCAGGGCTTAGAGTTTGGGGAGTGGCTACTGTAGCAGGCGGAGAGTTTGGGGAGTGGCTACTATAGCAGGCGGAGAGTTTGGGGAGTGTCTACTGTAGCAGATGGAGAGTTTGGGGAGTGCCTACTGTAGCAGAAGAAGAGTTTGGGGAGTGCCTACTGTAGCAGGCGGAGAGTTTGGGGAGTGCTTACTATAGCAGGCGGAGAGTTTGGGGAGTGCCTACTGTAGCAGGAGAAGAGTTTGGGGAGTGCCTACTGTAGCAGGTGGAGAGTTTGGGGAGTGGCTACTGTAGCAGGTGGAGAGTTTGGGGAGTGTCTACTGTAGCAGGCAGAGAGTTTGGGGAGTGGCTACTATAGCAGGCGGAGAGTTTGGGAAGTGCCTACTGTAGCAGGAGAAGAGTTTGGGGAGTGCCTACTGTAGCAGGTGGAGAGTCTGGGGAGTGGCTACTGTAGCAGGTGGACAGTTTGGGGAGTGCCTACTGCAGCAGGTGGACAGTTTGGGGAGTACCTACTGTAGCAGGAGAAGAGTTTAGGGAGTGCCTACTGTAGCAGGTGGAGAGTTTAGGGCGTGGCTACTGTAGTAGGTGTAGAGTTAGGGTGTGGCTACTGTAGCAGGTGTAGGGTTTAGGGAGTGGCTACTGTAGCAAGAGGAGAGTTTGGGGAGTGGCTACTGTAGCAGGTGGAGAGTTTGGGGAGTGCCTACTGTAGCAGGAGGAGAGTTTGGGGAGTGCCTACTGTAGCAGATTGAGAGTTTGGGGAGTGCCTACTGTAGCAGGAGGAGAGTTTGGGGAGTGCCTACTGTAGCAGATGGAGAGTTTGGGGAGTGCCTACTGTAGCAGGAGAAGAGTTTGGGGAGTGCCTACTTTAGCAGATGGAGAGTTTGGGGAGTGCCTACTCTAGCAGGTGGAGAGTTTGGGGAGTGCCTATTGTAGCAGGTGGAGAGTTTGGGGAGTGCCTACTGTAGCAGATTGAGAGTTTGGGGAGTGCCTACTGTAGCAGATGGAGAGTTTGGGGAGTGCCTACTGTAGCAGGCGGAGAGTTTGGGGAGTGCCTACTGTAGCAGATGGAGAGTTTGGGGAGTAGCTTCTATAGCAGGGCTTAGAGTTTGGGGAGTAGCTACTGTAGCAGGTGAAGAGTTTAAGGAGTGGCTACTGTAGCAGGAGGGGAGTTCGGGGATTGGCTACTGTTGCAGGAGGAGAGTTTGGGGAGTGCCTACTGTAGCAGGCGGAGAGTTTGGGGAGTGCCTACTGTAGCAGATGGAGAGTATGGGGAGTAGCTACTATAGCAGCGCTTAGAGTTTGGGGAGTGGCTACTGTAGCAGGGCTTAGAGTTTGGGGAGTAGCTATTGTAGTAGGTGGAGAGTTTGGGGAGTGGCAACTGTAGCAGATGGAGAGTTTGGGGAGTGCCTACTGTAGGAGGAGGGGAGTTTGGGGAGTGGCTACTATAGCAGGGCTTAGAGATTGGGGAGTGGCTACTGTAGCAATCAGGGAGTTTGGGGAGTGGCTACTATAGCAGGGCTTAGAGTTTGGGGAGTGGCTACTGTAGCAAGCAGGGAATTTGGGGTGTGATTTTGATATTTTGGGAAAGAAATTTAGCTTTGTTTACATTACAAAACTTGCATGACAAAATCTGTTGCATTTAGACCGTCAGAGATTTAACAGGTCATAAACACATTAAAGTGGGGACATTGTGATGCTACACGCTACAATGGACGCTTCAATACCACATAGCATCATAATACACATGTTTAGAAAGGCAAATGTACCATTTTTGGGAAATTACATATTTAACTTTTAATATGATTAACATAATTAATTAACATAGTACTTTAACATAAGCCTTTGTAAGCACTGCTGTCCAAATGTGGCATGACTTTTTGTGTGATCCCATACTTTCAGATGAACCTAATGCAGATTTTATTCATGTAATAAAGACAAATACCCTTTACTGTCCTGTATTCACCCTATATTATATCTCCTAGTCTTTTCACAGCAAACGTCTTTGAATCTATAAATGAAGATGGGTTTCTTGGCCTTCCTCATCTGGAGTATCTGTAAGTGTCTCACAGATCGTTATTATATGAGTAATCAGCACTGCATGAAGAATTCAATGACAGAAAAACAGCTGATCTGATGAGTCATGTGTTTCGTTGTGTATAATGACTTGTTTTGAATGCTTAAATGTTGTGCATCACGTTAATGTTTGTTTTTCTTCTAGGTTCATTGAAAATAACCAAATCAAGTCCATATCGCCTTTCGCCTTCAGAGGACTCAAGTCCTTAATACACTTGTGAGCATTTCTGCATAATACGACTGAAATGTTGATCATTTCTCTATTCATCCACCTTACAACATTGCCATCATAATTAGAATGTAAAAAATGAATTTTTTAAATATATACAAAACATTTACTTCATACTTTTACAATATACAAAGTGTCTGCTGTAGAAGCTTGTTTCCTCACTGGAATAAAAAAATATCTGAAATGTTTGTCTCACAATTGTGAGTTTATGTCTCAAGTTTATATCTCAATTAATTCTGAGAAAACCAGTCAGAATTGTGAATTACTTAGTCAGAATTGTGAGATAAAAATGTGCAATTAGCCTTTTTTTTTTTTATCTGTGGCAGAAACCAGTTTCCATAGTCTGCATTTGTAATTGTCTGCATTTTATTAGTTAATTATTCATATTATTTCTGTGATGTTTGAAGAAGCAGTCAGCAAACCAGGTTTTATTCTTTAAAAAAAACCTTTGCACACAATAAAAATTGTTCCATTTCTCTTTACTGATGTAAACTACCATTTGGTTTTTGACTAATGTTATTGCAGAAGTCTGGCTCACAATAATTTGGAGACGCTACCGAAAGATCTTTTCAAAGGGATGGAAGCTTTGACTAAAGTGTATGTATGCGAGTGTGCAATGTTTTAGCAATGTGATATCATTTGAATAACTGTCAATGATATACAAACTTCTAGACTGAAACTTTTATTCATTTGTCCAGGGATCTGAGAGGAAATCTTTTCAGCTGCGACTGTAAATTAAAGTGGTTAGTCGACTGGATGTTTCACACAAATGCAACTGTGGATGAGATCTATTGCAGTGGGCCTGAATCTTACCAGGACAGGAAAATCAATGACCTTGTGGCGCAGTCATTTGATTGCATAACAACAGGTCGGTCGTATTCCTTACAGACCACTTTGTGTTACTTGACATCAAAAGAGCTTAACATTTGTCTGTTTGTTCTACAGATTTTCCGCTGTTGAAGTCTCTCGAATTTCAGTCCATTTCAGTCGAAGCTTTTGAATTTGGTGGAGACCAGTTTGTTGTATTCGCCCAGCCGTTCATTGGCAGGTGTAGTTTCATGGAATGGGATCACGTGCAAATGGAGTTCCGAAACTTCGATAACATCACAAGTAAGCAAATAGTGATGGAAATGTTGCAAGGAGTTAATGTCAAACTCTACACATAATATTAATGATAATAATACACACAATACAGTGGATATAAAAAGTCTACACATCCCTTTTTTAAACAGTTGGTTTTTGTGATGTAAAAAGTGAAGGAAAATTAGTGAAATGTGTGTGGGAACCTGAAGAGGGCCGTGCACAGGAGATGCCCTCACAATTTAACAGATCTGGAACGTTTTTGCAAAGAATAGTCAAGTCAAGTCACCTTTATTTATATAGCACTTTTTACAATACAAATTGTTTCAAAGCAGCTTTACATAGTGTGAAAATATTCCCAAGATGTACCAAGCTGATAGACTCCTATGCAGTTAGTTATTTTATACACGTTTTTTATTATTATTTATAACATTCCATTAGTTGTAATGTTTACATTAAACAGGCAAAAATGTTGACAATGAACTGTTTTTTCAAGCCTTTGTTTCGTACAGCTTTAATCCTGTAAAAGGTGTGACACAACTTAAAAGGTAAATGACACATTTGATTTTCTAAAAATAAAATTATATATATATGTACACTCACCTAAAGGATTATTAGGAACACCTGTTCAATTACTCATTAATGCAATTATCTAATCAACCAATCACATGGCAGTTGCTTCAATGCATTTAGGGGTGTGGTCCTGGTCAAGACAATCTCCTGAACTCCAAACTGAATGTCAGAATGGGAAAGAAAGGTGATTTAAGCCATTTTGAGTGTGGCATGGTTGTTGGTGCCAGACGGGCCGGTCTGAGTATTTCACAATCTGCTCAGTTACTGGGATTTTCACGCACAATCATTTCTAGGGTTTACAAAGAATGGTGTGAAAAGGGAAAAACATCCAGTATGCAGCAGTCCTGTGGGCGAAAATGCCTTGTTGATGCTAGAGGTCAGAGGAGAATGGGCCGACTGATTCAAGCTGATAGAAGAGCAACTTTGACTGAAATAACCACTCGTTACAACCGAGGTATGCAGCAAAGCATTTGTGAAGCCACAACACGCACAACCTTGAGGCGGATGGGCTACAACAGCAGAAGACCCCACCGGGTACCACTCATCTCCACTACAAATAGGAAAAAGAGGCTACAATTTGCAAGAGCTCACCAAAATTGGACAGTTGAAGACTGGAAAAATATTGCCTGGTCTGATGAGTCTCGATTTCTGTCGAGACATTCAGATGGTAGAGTCAGAATTTGGCGTAAACAGAATGAGAACATGGATCCATCATGCCTTGTTACCACTGTGCAGGCTGGTGGTGGTGGTGTAATGGTGTGGGGGATGTTTTCTTGGCACACTTTAGGCCCCTTAGTGCCAATTGGGCATCGTTTAAATGCCACGGCCTACCTGAGCATTGTTTCTGACCATGTCCATCCCTTTATGGCCACCATGTACCCATCCTCTGATGGCTACTTCCAGCAGGATAATGCACCATGTCACAAAGCTCGAATCATTTCAAATTGGTTTCTTGAACATGACAATGAGTTCACTGTACTAAAATGGCCCCCACAGTCACCAGATCTCAACCCAATAGAGCATCTTTGGGATGTGGTGGAACGGGAGCTTCGTGCCCTGGATGTGCATCCCACAAATCTCCATCAACTGCAAGATGCTATCCTATCAATATGGGCCAACATTTCTAAAGAATGCTTTCAGCACCTTGTTGAATCAATGCCACGTAGAATTAAGGCAGTTCTGAAGGCGAAAGGGGGTCAAACACAGTATTAGTATGGTGTTCCTAATAATCCTTTAGGTGAGTGTATATATATATGGATAATCAAGTAAACCGAAGCTACTTCAGTCCAGTATGTGTTCATCTTGAAATAATGCTAGCAATGTACAAGTTATTCTTGCATTTATTTTATAAAAATCAGTAAAGATTTTACAGCAGAAAGACACATGAAGGTGGACTTATGTACGATTATACTAAAATACCTTTTACGTGATAAAAAAAGTCTAAACTATCAGTCAGATGACAGAAGGTAGTAGATTGTGTGCGACATGTTTATTAGATCATGTTGATCATTTAGAGGCTTTTAATTATTAAATATGATACAGTAGGGTTAAAAGGACTCTTCAAATCTCTCCTCCCGTAGGCACTTCATCTGTCATCTGCAAACCTCTAGTCATTGACAGTCAACTCTTCATCATCGTAGCACAACTGTTCGGCGGCTCACACATCTTCAAGAGAGACGTCTCCGCAAACAAATTCATCAAAATCCAAGACATCGACATTCTGAAAATACGAAAGCCAAATGACGTGGAAATCTTCCACGTTGACGGAGAGTCTTTCTTCATCATCGCCGATAGCTCCAAAGCCGGCTCCACGACTATTTATAAATGGAACGGCAATGGCTTCTACTCCCATCAGTCCTTGCACCCCTGGCACCGCGACACAGACGTGGAGTATCTAGACATTTCCGGGAAACCTCACTTGATCTTGTCCAGCAGTTCTCAACGGCCGGTTATTTACCAATGGAGCAAAAGCAACAAGCAGTTCGAGCGGCGTACCGATATCCCAGAGATGGAGGACGTGTACGCGGTCAAACACTTCGCTGTGAAGAGCGAACTCTACATATGTCTGACCCGCTTCATCGGCGACTCCAAGGTGATGAAGTGGGATGGCAGCATGTTCAGTGAGATCCAGACCATGGCCTCTCGTGGCTCCATGGTGTTCCAGCCGTTCTCCATAGCCAACTGGCAGTACGCCATCCTGGGCAGCGACTACGCCTTTACTCGCGTCTACCGCTGGGACGCACAGAAGAGACAGTTTATCCACTTCCAGGAGATGAACATTCAAGCACCCAGGGCTTTTTCTCTGGTGTTTATTGACAACAGGGAATTCCTTCTTGGCTCTAGTTTTAAGGGGCAAACGCGGATTTATGAACATTTGGTCCTTGACTTGAGCAGCTGATTTGCTTCATCAGGACAGTTGAGGATGATTACTGTCTCAATGAATCTCACGAACACGTCCTGGTCATATTTAATTCTAAAATCTGAAGAAAGAAAGACATTTTTTGTTGTTTTTTAAACTAAATAAAGCTAGTTTTAAAGTCACCATGAAATCAAAATTGAGCATTCTTGTTTTTATGGAATATTGCAGTGTTTATTATTAAATGATTTTTCCGTGCACATCATTATTGTGTTAATAATCTTGAATCAGAATAACTTCCTCTTGCAGCATATCTTCTCTTCTCTGATGATGTGGGCGGGGCTATAACCTGTCACTCACATGAGATCAGCCAATAGCAAACCACAATCATCCAATCAGTTCCCAACAGACACAATCAAGCCCCGCCCACATTTGTTCTTGTTTCAGAAGCATTGGCCTCAAATATTCGTCACAGTAGAGAAGAGACTAGCGCAAGTTCAGTTTCATGCTGATTTTTTTGCCTTGTACTCTTATTTTTATGATTTAACCTATTTAAACCCCTCAATTCTCCATACCATAATGTAGTCTTTTTACTGTAATACAGTAAATATAGCTTGATTGTCATGAAAGTATGTCACCATGCATAAAAATCTTAATGGTTAAAAAATAGGCTTCATTTTCTTTATGCAAAACACAATTTCTTATATTTTCTTTCTTTTGATTTTGGGGTGAAATATGACGGGATATTTTCATCAGATTCACAGCATGAAGATTCTTTGCAGATGACTTGCATGATGGTGCCTTAGTTAGGTACCGCCAGTGAAATTATTCACGTTGGTTTTTTTAGTGTGTTTTTTTTTATAAATGATCTTCTCAGTGAACTCATTCATTTCTGTTGTATTTTTACATTTTAACTGATGTACTTTCATTGAAATACTTGCAATTCTATTTATTAATATGTCTATCTCAACTTATTTACTTCTCTTTTAACTTGTAAACAATGTATTTTATGTGGCAGCTGGGGGAAATATTTGATATGCAGAATGGGAGTTTGAAATATACATTGACAGTTCAACTTTTGGAGTAGTGTGTCATGTGACTATTGTTTTTTAGCAATTTGCCTGTTTGTTTGAACTGTATTAACTACTAACAGACGACCAATGTCAATACTTTTTTTTCAACAAGATACAATTTGTTGAGATGAGGAGATTCTAAATCACCAAATGATGAAACTGTGATGTTCTACTGGATAAGTTTGTGCATGCAGTTTCATGCCTACATTTTTGGAGACTGATACTAACTTTAAATAAAGACTTTGTGATCTTGAGAACGACTTTAAAAGAATTTAAACACATTCAAAAACAATGGGGCGATAACAGTACAAGTAAAACTAGATAATGTATATAGGTAGTTCATAATAAATATATGTCCAAAGCGACTCAAACATTTTAAAATCTTCATATATCGAGTCCAAATCGTATTGATATGACATTTTATCTGTATATGTTTATAGTAGGGATGGCTGCCGCGAAACAGTCGTTCCGAAGCTTTGCGAGATCCCGAAGCGCAGATGTTTCGAAACACTGATTCGAAGCGTGATTCAAAACACCCATGTCACGTGACTATGGCCAAACGAAGCCTCGAAGTGTTTCACTAAGTGTTTCATCAGGTGTGATCCGCCGAATCAGCGTTTGATTGACACGGTCGGACACAGACCACACAATCGCACATCTGTATAAAAGTGAAATCAACGCATGTTGGTTTTTGTGAGAGAAGTTTGATTTTGAGATAGCGGATTTTTGGTGATATAGTGCGATTTGTTTAGTTATATTTAGGCTTACATTTAATTTTACACAACACATTGACTGATAGGCTAGAGACACAGAGTATACATATAATGACACATTAATAGATACATAGATATAAATATATATAGCCTAGACAGCTAGATTAATAGATAGAGAATAGATACATATATAGATAGATTAAAGATAGGCTACATATATTTTTACATAGATACATTTATATAGATACATATCTAAATACATAGATAGATAGATACATAGATTATAGATACATATCTAAATACATAGATTATAGATACATATTATATATACATATCTAAATACATAGATAGATTGTAGATACATATATCTAATTACATAGATAGATTAGAGATACATATCTAGATAGATTTGGATAGATAGATAAAATGGAGGCTCCCCAGAGGAGATGCCGTACATCTGTGGTGTGGGAGAATTTCCATTTAGAAACCCCAAATAAAGTGAGATGTGTGTATTGTGATCAGCAGCTCGCCTACTGCAACAATACATCTTCCAGTAGAAACACAGGACAGTTTATGGGAACTTTTTGATACTCGTATCATCAAACCCAGATGATACACAATGCTACAGCTGATGCCACAGTGGAAGTGAAAAAGTACATCAACGATGCGTATTTGCCCACAACTCATGATCCACTAACTTACTGGAAAGAGAGAGCAGGAATCTTTCCTCATTTGTATGTATTAGCTAAAAAATATCTTTGCATGCCAGCAACAAGTGTCCCTTGTGAGAGGATTTTTTCAAAGGCTGGAGAAATTATCTGTAAAAAAAGAAGTAGGCTAAGTCCTTCCACAGCAGAGAAATTAATATTTTTTAATAAAAATATGTAAAAAAGTGAGACATTGTGGCTTGATTTATTTTATTAATATTCATTTTGCAGGACCAAAATAACATTATGCACAGTGAGGAGGCTATAGGTTGCAAGATTCACATATTAGAAAAGTACAATAATAAAAAAACAACAAATTTTCATGGCTCGTCAAGGTTGTTTCAGATCAACACCTGCAAGTGACCACTAGGTGTCACAGTGGAGACGGGTGTCGGATTGATTCGACAACATGACATCATGACTTTGCGTAAACATACACGCCACTTTCAATTCAAGTGGCGTGCTATCTATACGCATTTTGAGCTATCCGCGTGTATGTCCACGCCGAAATCTTTTGCGTGTATGTCTACGCCATTAAATGTCCGAGTGATTCCGCGTGTATGTGTACGCCGTTAAATGTCCGAGCGAAACGAAGCAAAATCTATATCTACATCTGTGGAGCGATATTTCTTTTCCTAGGATGGTAGGAGAAGACTCATAAATGGTATTAACCCCAGTGACGGGTAGGTTTAGGGACGGGGTTGGGGTAGGTCATATATTTATATATACATAATACAGTAATATAACGTTAAGTCAAAGGCGTTGATAAACACGCTGAAAAGCGATTATGCGTGTTAATAGCACGCCAAAAATGGAAATACGAATTGGCGTGTCATACATACGCCATTTCATGAGATCAGTCTGGATTCGAAGCCTCGAAACAATATGAACCATTTGGTTCAACTGTTTCATTGCTTCACGAAGCCTCGATCTGCCCATCACTAGTTTTTAGTATACGCTGTATATCATTTAAACCAAAAGCTTGACATGTAAGAGATAATCCATGGCTAGCTGTGCATTAAAAGATTTTAATGCACGACATGGAGGCAAAGAACCACCCAATGCGAAGCAGAGTGCATTAAACCTTTCATGCACAGCGAGCTGTGGATTATCTCACTTATTGTTAGCCAGAGGAGAACTGGCCCCTGACTAGCCTGGGTTCTCCCAAGGTTTTTTTCTCCATCCAATCTGATGGAGTTTTGGTTCCTTGCCACTGTCGCCTTGCTTTTGGCTTGCTTAGTTGGGGATATTTAATATTCAACAATATTATTGAACTGTGTTGTACTACTTTCATGTTATCACTGTGAAGCTGCTTTGATGCAATCTGTATTGTGAAAAGCGCTATATAAATAAATGTGACTTATACAATGCTTATTTGCCAGCCTTGCCTTAACTTGGCAAGGCTGGCAAATAAGCATTGTATAAGTGAGATAATCCACAGCTCGCTGTTATGGATGTTTTTGTTAAACTGAGCTTGACTAGATATCGGCTAAAGACAGAGAATAAACATGCTTCACACAGGTTGCAGTGAGAACACAGTCAGTCGTTTATTGGTACAGGTGCAGTTTAAATAGAACATCACATGGCATGGACACATGACAAACACACCTGAGAGGAATCCACAATAATTGGGAGCATACTCCTTAACCAATCAATCAATTAACACCCCCACTTGCTCACACGTTATTCACAATCATTTACATTCAATCACAAACAAAAACAAAAAAAACATCATGAAAACCAACTGAATTACATCTTGGCTATAACCCAAACAGGAACGTGGAAAAGGTAAGTAGCTTTAATTTTGTAGCTGGTTTAATCATTAGGTCAGCAACCATCTGATCTGTTGGGCAATACTCCAAAAACACTTTGTGATGAAGCGAGTCCCACTGCTCGCAAAAACGGTAACTGGGGTCCGTGAGGATGGGAAAAAAAATGATGGCTTACTCGCAGAGCACTCTTGTGCAAGATGTAATTTATTTACATTGCCAATAAGAAAACAGTCCTCAGTGACGTATATATACTGGTGAACACAAAAACCTAAAAAGTATAAAAAATAAATAAATAAATAAATAAAGACAAAAACCCTCCAACACGTATCCACCGCATACACAGGTTTGCTTGAGGCACCGCCGCAGTTGCACTCTTGCTCCGACTTGGTTAACAAGTCCTGGTTTGGCCTTGGCTTAAATAGACCAACCCCCGCCCCTTTTTGGGCCACACCAATTCCAGGAACATATAACAGTTAATACACATACAAATACTTCATCTATTTGATCATGAATAATAATCAATTCCCAATATATATATATATATATATTAATAATAAACACATAATACATTAACACATAATACACTTAACACATACTTTTTCCATTTGAACACACACACGGACACCTATTCACCCAAGACAATGGTTTCGTCAGCTTCCGGTTTCGATTCGCCGGCGCGACCCGGCCATGACGTTATAAGCGGCGGCCGCTCGATCGTTCGGTTTGTCTGGCGAAACTTCCCCGCCGGAAGACTGACTACGCCCACACAGACAAACAATACAGGGCGAACCAACAAGACAGTGCAGTGTAAGTGTATGAAACGATCGGAAAATGGATATGGAAGGGAAAGGGGAGCAGGGCTGGATTAAGAGTTCAGAGGCCCCTGGGCACAATGTCTTGTAGGCCCCCCCTTAGGCAGGCCAAATGTATATTTTGTCCAAGGACATTTTTATATGGCATTTAAGTCACAGTTTTACTGACTTAAAAGGAACTTTGTTGTACTGTGCTGGAGTAAAGTTCATAAATAGCCGTTCTTTCCCATATGATTTTGTAAAGCTATGTTGGGTGGACCTCTGTGCCTCTAGGGGGGTTCGGGGGCATGCTCCCCCGCAAGAAAATTTTG